AGCAGTCATCGTTCTATGATATTTATATTCAATAATCGTATATGATATATCTAATATATGGATTATCTCACAATGATACCACGTTTACGGGAATAACCAAGAAAGCTGTAACTGAAAATGGTCATACAACAATTAAAAGACGAAGTACCTTGCAATGCAATTGAAACATAGGAAAGACTGTTTCGTCTTTCACTACAACCTGTGCATGCTTCCTGGTCAAGACAACCCACTGCAGTGGGAAAAATAAAACGACAAAAATAAGATGAACTGTAGGAAACTTGCATAACGGAAATAAGCACTTACTAGGTTTTCTATTTAGTGTTGCACTGAAATTCAAGAGGCAATTAATCCATCATACGATCTGTACCTGTGATCCTTTTCTCCAGTTATGAGCAGGAATAACAGGATGCATTTTTGGATTGTAGCGGGCCTCTTTCGTATCAGCAAAGCTGCTCCCAAAAGTTAAAGGTTAAATACGCTTTCAAAACTTTCCGTCATAAGTAAGAAACAAACATAAAGAACCGTACAAATCTTTAGGTGATAACAAAAAATGATTCATTACGAAATAGATTCACATTGAAGTGCAGCTCACTTGTAATATGAATACACTCTGAAGATGAAACCCAAGTTTCAATTATATAGAATGCAGATCTCGGTTGAGAACCGCAGACCACAGACAAGCAATTCTTTCAAACATACACAATACATATTTGACTTGGTTTATTCACCTGTCTACAAAACTGGTTCTCGTTGACATGATGTAGTCATATATATAGCTGAAATTGTAAAGGGGAATGCAGCTGAAAAGAGATCAAGTAACTGAGATATTGTTAGACGATAAAAAATCACCATATTTATGAAAGAAACTAGCAGACCAAAATTTATGCGACCGCAACCTAGGGGGAAAAAACGTCAAGACAATCTTCACCTATCAGAAACAAAGGCAAAGCGTTGATTAAGAGGATCCTCGAGTGCATGTCTTAGTAATATGCGCTCTGCTTCAATCATGCTTGCTTCTCCCCAATCTACCTGGTATGGAATGAATAAAAATAACAATCGCAATAAAAGTCACGAAAAAAGAAATCACCTTAATTCACATTGTTCATAAAGTCATACCTATCTAATCTCAATCCCTGTAATTTATCAGTTATTCGATAAGAAGCCAAGAAACAAATTCTAACGTTTCCGGCATACAACAAGCATGGTTAGGACTGTGCTTCTGGAATAACTAAAGACACTATAAGCGCTTTTGGGTCAGGGTCATAGAAGCACTTCCAGGAGAGGTGCTTCTACAGAGGCACTTCCTCGTGCTTTTTCAAGAAGCACTTCCACTTGGAGTTTCAATTAAAATTTCAAGTGTTTCTAATAAAAGTGCTTTTAGAAAAGCAATTATGATACACACGACATTGTATCTAACAAAAGCACTTCTAGAAAAAGCGCTTATGATACATATGACATTGCATTTCCAAATTAAGAATTCAAGTTAGGAAATAGAATAGTAACTCCCACCTGTATACTATCATTGACTTGACGATCCAGGAAAAAAACCGATCTTGTGGTGGCCTTGTTGAACAGAAACCCCGGCCTTGAGTGAACATAAATCGAAAACCTACTCTCCCCTCCCTGCAACCAAAAACAAAAACAACAAAAGCTCCATCTTTAATACAAAATGCCAAACTAATTACACTCCTAATCACGTAATTAGATTAAAAAAAAACAAGTGATAAACAAATTAAATACCTGAAAGAAAACATCCCAAAGAATGTCCAACGGAATGCGATTGCGAGCGATGAACAAGAAGGCGATCTTGGGCCGTTGATTTTGCTGAGAATTTCGCAACGAAGGGAGCTTCATAATCCGACTGTACTGAGTGTGCATCAGCAGCACCAACGTCCCGAAGCAGATCCCCACCAGAATCAAAGTGAACAGCTTCCTCTTCCATTTGTGCTGCGCTTTCTGCGGACCCGCCTTCCGCTTCATTAATCACTTAACTAACAAGCTGTTTTTGCATCAAGCACTTTCTCAGCTCCCAAAGGAAAAGCTTCAGAAGTAGCTCAAGCTCTCATCTTTCGTTCTTCCACGTGAAACCCAGAATCCAGATCCACTCCCTTCAAGCTCTGGATTCTGGGATTTCGTAGCGGTGGAGGACTATCAACGTAATTAAGCTAAATTAAGCTGCTTAATGCTTAAAGCTCGTAGCTTTGAAGAGAATTCTAGAGACCCATAAGAAGTAGAAGTAGAGATTAAGCTGAATTAAGAGAGTGAATGGGATTTCAGCGTTTGCAAGTGGAAGGTGGGACTTCCACTTTTGTGATATTCTTGGCACGCAGGTCGTTGTCATGAAGTTGGGAAGTGTTAATGGTAGTTGACAGGGTTGCGTGCGATGTGGGATGGAATAGCAACACTTTATTGTGCCTTTTACTTTTGTTTGATTTCTGCCAAAGATAGTGTTTTCTCCTTTTCTCTTTGCCTAAATTGTGGATTACGAGTTGGTTTAGCGATATCTCGTCTTTACTTGATCATCTTGTTACGAGAATTATTTCATTAGTTACATGTGCGAGAACTATTTCATTGAAAATTATGTCTGAGTTCCTATGTGATTAGTCGATTTGGTGAAATTCTCGTCTTCACTTGGTTACATGTGCAAGAACTCTTTTATCGAATTTGTCTCTGAATTTGCATGTGATTAGTCAGTTTGACGAAATCCTTGCATTTACTTGGTTACATGTGTGAGACGCCGAGAACAATTTGTGTTTATAATGAGTTTAATATTAAATCGTAGTTCATTGCAGCTTGTTGTTGTCATGTCTCCTGGGACGGTTTACTACCTAAGTTTGACATTTAGTTAAGATTCATATGATTACAAATAACAAGTATCTTCTTTATTAATGTCTTGTTGTTTGCCAAAACTAAAACGCTTTTTAGACAAAATGGTAGAAATTGTCATAACTTCTCGTTGAGATTTAAAATCGATAAAAGTGATAATTGAGATTGTCTACCATCAATCAGTTCAGTACTTCTGTGTAAAATTTCCGTTAAATTGAAGAAATCATTAGTTTAAGTTAAGGAGTTGATTTTGATAAAATAAAAACTGTATCTGAATTCAGATACTACTTCACCAAACCATTAAGTTAATACGATAAAAGCATTATCATAAGCAACAAATTAATACCAAAATAATTATAGTATAAGTTAAAACATGAGTCAACTATGAATATGCTGCAACCGATAGCAAGGCGACGGCTGCGAGTCGGTGACAATGATTTTTAAGCCCCTTTTAGGCTCCACTTTACAAAAAAAAAAGTCATACTTTCTTGTACCGACGTTAAATTATGTAGTAGGACAATTTAATTTGGTATCGAATTTGTCATTCACGAGATTTAAATTTAAGACCTCTTACTTTTAAGAGAAGATAAATATCATCAGATCGTAATACTAAATAACCAATTACGTAGTGAAGATTTAAACTTAATATTTCTTTCGTATTATTTTTTTTTTTCTAACAACGTTAAAAGATGATACAAATTAAGTGTCGATTAAGAAATGAGATTACTTTTGTTTACATTATCCATGAAAATATACAAAAAATAAAATAAAATAATTTAAGGTGACAAAGAAAGTGGGAAATACAATAATATTATTAGGGTCTGTGTGTAAATGAATATTGACTAGTGAGACCGTGAAAGAAACATAACACCACCAACCAAAAGTTGTTAGTTTCAATAATGATTTATTTGGTGAGACTTCATCATATGCACGGGTAATGGAAGAATATTTTTGCCACCCTTCTTTTGTAATGGTGATGTTAATCATTGATTGATAATGTGAATTTCGAGATCCATGTAGTTGATAGGTACAAATCTTAAAATTTAAAATCATTTAACGATAATAAATATCATGCATTTTTGCTCACCACCCTTAAGTAGTAGTGCTGCTAACCACCCAATTTATCATCGTTAGATGAGTTTAAATTTTGATAATTGTGTTTATCTACTATACAGATCTCGAAATTTAAAGTTATCAAACGATGATAAATAGGGTGGTGAACAAATATGGACCTATAAATATTCTCTTACTAATATTACGCACATATTGCTTTTTTTATTTTTTATTTTTTTTAGTACATCGATATTTTTACGCTATGGGATAAGGAGTTTGGCTAAGCCACATAATGGGTAGCCTAATTTGGTATCAAATTCGCCATCCACGAGATTCGAACTTAAGATCTCTCGCTTCTAAGTGACAAGGAATACCACCAGATTATAGTATTGAGTGTCAAAAAATGCATTTTGTAAATGTAAGCAACTAAGCTGCTAAATAATAGTTTCTTCTTATTCTTGATAAGATAATAAAATAAAGGTATATTTGTTGATTTGCTCCCTAAACTTGTATAGAGCAGTTAATTTACCCCCTGAATCCTTAATAGTACACTATTAGTAGAAGCCGATGTCTCAAGGTCCTGGGGACTCATTCTGACTGAAACAAGGGATGGGTCTTTACCAACTTAAAATAGCTTGTTACCCTTTTTACTTTTTATAAATAACCAATTTTCCCCCTAATGCTAGATTTTAAAATTTTCATTATTTTTTATCCATTTTGATCCGAGAACACATGACAACTGCATGTGTACAAAAGGAATGAAAAATTGGATGGATGAAAATTTAAAATCTTAACGCTAGGGGGACGAATTGGTTATTTATAAAATTTTAGGCGGATAATTGGCTAAAGTAAAAGTTCAGGAGGAAAATTGGTTAATTATAAAAGTTCAGAGGTAATCTGTTAAAATTAAAGTTCAAGGAAAAATTGGCACTTGTATACAAATTCAAGGAAAAAACCGACAAATACGTCTAAAATAAAAAATAAAAAATAAAACCATTCAAATTACAGATTACGTGGTCCCTTTTTGTTTCCATCGACACTTATTTCCACGAGCCCAATAATAATCGGGCTTGGGCTTTATGGGCTGAGAGAAGTCTCCAGGTCCAGGAATGTTCTTCTCGGTTACGAATTTAAAACGACGCCGCCCCGCTCACTGGTAAACTCTGTCTTCCTGTCACTGGACCGTTGAAGTTCTTCGGCACTTCGCCCCCAAAACATGTCGGTTAGGTCGTTATCCATCCGCCCCCAATTTACCGCCAAAAGGTACAAATCTCAAATCCCTCCATTATTTTCTTCCAATCCGCATCGTATTTTGTGTTTTTACATTTTGTTTTCGAAGCTCGCCGGCGGGCGAAATCGGAGCAAGCCCTGGCTGCGCAGTCCTCAACTTCTCGAATTTGCGGAGAGGTCCCTCAAGAAGTCGAAATTTGAGCTTGAGGTTGTGTATGGGTAGCGGCAATGGAGGATTCGGACAGACCCCTCATGGGGTCGGCGACAAAGATGGCGTCATCATCGTCGACCATGGTTCGCGCCGCAAGGAATCAAATCTCATGTTAAGTAAGCTCATAAAAAAATTAAAATTATGGGTTGTTAATGTTTAATTATTATAATTTTTTTATGATTAATGTAGAAAGTTTGGATTTTTAAGCTTGTTAATTGGAATTTTAAGTTTGGATTAATGTATGAACTTTTTTCAGTTGAGTTCGTGAGCATGTTTAGAGAGAGAACTGGGTACCCAATTGTGGAGCCTGCTCATATGGTACAATAAATAATTAATTTTTATCAATTGATTTCCATAGTTTCAGTTGAATGTCGTTCACAATGCGTTTCTTGATCCTCTTATGTTGGTGAAGTCCTCATTGTGTTGGTAAATTTTCGATGATTAGGAGTTGGCGGAACCATCAATTCGGGATGCATTCAATTCGTGTGTTGAACAAGGGGCTGATCGTGTAATTGTGAGCCCGTTCTTCCTCTTACCGGGAAGACATTGGAACCAGGTAGCTCAACTAACAACGTAATATCCTATCGACGGGGGGTTAGTGATTATTAATTATTGGGCGCAGTTGAATTTTGTTTTCGACAATGTCTCTATGAATGATTAAGAAAACATGATAAAATCGGTGTATTATTTCACAGGACATTCCATCCCTGACAGCTGAAGCTGCAAAGGAGCATCCTGGTGTCTCGTATATAGTAACTGCACCCCTCGGCCTCCATCCGCTACTTGTGGTATGACTATGGAGTTCCCTTAATTTTTTTCTTTTTGTAAATGTCACGGAATATTCTGAAGCTTTGGCTATCAATCAGTGGTTTTAGAAACAGATAGATTTTTCGGTATAGAGTGTCCATTAAGGGGAGATTGTGCTTGTTATATTTCGCAGAACTTCTTTTGCACCATATAATATGAGGTCTCTGACTCTATGGTTGCAGGATGTTATGAATGATAGGATCAATCACTGCTTAAGCCGTGTTGCTGGAGATGCAGAGGAGTGCGCCGTTTGTGCTGGAACAAACAAATGTCAGCTCCATTGATTCATGCAAAGCGAACAAAAAAATAGGATGGCACACGCAATCAAGGGACCATTTCAGCTTTAAACCAGGAGAATGATTCCTCAACTTGGCTAATCATATAACTTAGCTAAGCAGTTGTTGTGGCTGGGATTTTGAGGGCGTGGCATTGCGTTGGAGGACCCGGGTTCACTTAACAAACTCCTCACTTCCCAAATAGTTGGAACAAGGCTTTCTGGACCATTGATTTTTTGATGGATGGCAAGTCGATTTTTTTCATCAAGGATCAAATGGAAAGATCGATGATCTTGCAACATAAAACGATGTAGAGATGTTCCAGATGTTATCTTAGGACCTTAATTATGAATCCCTTCTATATATTTTGTCAATCTGCATGTGTTGAAGGCTGCGTTTTTGTAATTTCAACAGTATAAAGATTTTCTTGCAATCCAATCACAGAAAGAAAACGTCTCCAGACGTTACGCTGAATCTGACCGTGAGGTCACAGAAGAAAACTGTGTAGCTGCTATTACCAGTGAATATGATGAATTCTATGATGTATATACAATATATATGCACAAATGTTCACTAGCTGCTAATTGTACGTATAAAATGGTTGCTTCTTATTCCCCCTTTTTGCCCCAGAAAGGCTTGTTTTGCCATTGCCAGAATCTTGAGAACCCTTCCATGTTTATCTTCCTGCTCGCGTCCTCCCGAGCCTTGGCTTGCGCAGGGGTTTCTTCTTCAGCAGTCGCACGCGCTGCAATTCATTATTTTGTGTGTTCAGAAAATGGTGGAACATAAGTTCAGGTAATTTATCAGAGTCAAGAAAGTTCTTACATTTTCTTTGATTGTTTTCGTTTTCGGCTTCCTCCTGCCATCTTTGTTGTTGTTTATTGTAAGATTTAGCAGCCATGAAAACATTTGCAGGTCTTTCCCACCCTCCTCCGAATATGCCATACCCTTCCGTCGGCTGAGGCTGACTCAGGAACTCGAGCACCGGCAGCTCTTCCTTCTCCACCCAATGAATGCAGTTCACAGGACACGAATCTACTGATACCTGCAGTAAGTTTAATTCCGACTTATCCTCTATCGGCCATCATAGAGTAATTAGCGCGCTACTGACAGGTAGTTTACCTCAATCTTTTGTTCATCGTCGCCATATTGAACTTTAACCCTAGCACAACCGAGGGCATCATCGAACATGAAGGTGCTACTTGCATGGTGTACACATTCTCTGCAACCTGCCGGAAATTCAGTTGCGATTCAATGTACTTAGAAACTAACGCGAATCTAGGTACACTTTTACGCGAATTAGACATACGAGTTGAATACCTATGCAGGCATTTTCGTCAACAAATAGAGCTTGGGGTCTGAAAGGTCCATTCCATGAAGAACCCAAGCTTGACGATGGTGTGTTTCCTGCTCTGAATCCAGCTACTCTGACTTTACCAATGGATGCATCGTATTCCTTCCTCAGATTCTCTCTCATCAGAACTTTATACGCTTCATTCAACTTTAGCGTATACTCGTGGCCCTGCTTGGTATAAAAGACTTCAAAGCGTTTCTTGATCATAGAACCGCTTTCTGAATAAACTCAGGAATCACTTCTAAGTACTTTTATAAGAATCACTAGCGTATACTCATGGGCTTGCTTGGCATAAAAGACTTAAAAGCGTTTCTTGATCATAGAACCGCTTTCTGAATAAACCTAGGAATCACTTCTAAGTACTTTTATAGGAATCATTAGCGTATACTCGTGGCCCTGCTTAGCATAAAAGACTTAAAAGCGTTTCTTGATCATAGATCCGCTTTCTGAATAAATCCAGGAATCACTTCTATGTACTTTTAATGGAATCACTTCCAGTTTTTAATTTTAATTTTGACGTGTTTATAACAGAAATGCTTATGAGCAAAAGTGCTTCCTACACAAGCAGTCTCAAACGGACCCTTGATTGGATTGGGATTATTACCTCTTGGCCTGCAACATCTGGGTGATATTTCTTCTGCAATTTCCTATAAGCTTGTCTGATTTTCTTCGGATTTGAATCAGCAGAAACACCAAGCAATTCATAGTAATTGTACTTCTTTCCCGTTGCCATTTCCTCTGCTCCCTCTTTCTTACATCGGATTCTGCTAAATATTCAAGTATTCCAACCTCAAAATATCAGAAATTACTATGCAACTTTCAACTGGTTAGAAAATTTAAAATCTTTTTAATTTGATTTAATAAACTTCAAAGTAAGGTTAATTATGATTAGCATGAGATTAAACTAATTACCTCCAGATGGGCTTCTTGTTCTCATGAACTTGGAAAGCTTTTGGTACTGGAAATCTGGAAACGGAGGAGACTGCCCAGACAGCCATGTTGGATTTTCCGATTGTAACCTGAGTCTCCAATTTCTAATATTTTCAATGAAAATGTAAGTAAAAATTCTGACAGATATTTTCTTAACCATCCATCCATGAGTCCTCCCAGGACTGATAAGTGTCTTTCTCAGATACTGTCCTGAGCTAAACCCCACCGGATGGAGATATTTTTTTAGTGTGACCGTTACACAATGTGGTATATCACGTGTTATTATATAAATAGTTGGATTTGTGTGTTAAAAGGTTAATAACTAAAAGGTAAAGTAAAATTTTCCACTACGTACATAAAAACACATGGTGTACCACTTATGTTCCCGTTACAATTAAGAATTTTTCCACCAGATGACTCAGTGATTGAGACAAATTTTAAGACCATATTTCACATAGTACGTATTTGGTTTGATGCTTGCCGCTGGTAAATTAGTGGCTAGGAAAGTCTAGGACCCGGTTTCTCTGTTCTCTCATTTCCCATACACTCTCAACCCCTCATATTTTGTGCGGTCACGTTTAAGCCACGTTAACATTTTATATTGATTTTGTTATAGAAATAATAACACAAAAGACAATAGTAATATAAAATGTTAACGTGGCTTAATTGTGACGGTACAAATAGGAGGGGATGAGAGTGTATGGGAAGTGGTAGGGCAGAGAAGCCAGGTCCGAGAGTCTAAGGGGGTGTATTTAATTGGAAATTTGAGAGATTTTAATAGATTTATAAATTCATGGGTTTTTATAGAGTTTAATTGATTTGTAGAGATTCTATGTAAAATTTTGATTCAATTCACTCGAAATCTCATGAGAGATGTGAGATTTGTGGATGCTTAAAATATACTACCAAATCTCTCTAATTTCCTCTAATTCCTCAACTTTTTCAAATTCTTTAAATTCAAGTTCTAATTGAATACACCTGAAATGTTATAAATTTCTTTAAAATTCTAATTGAATAAACTCGGATTTCTAAGGATTTTAATGAACTATCTTAACATCCTAATTGAATACACATTGAATTTCAAACTTAAAATCTTAATTGAATACCCCTAAATTTATTAAAAAAATTATCATCTTTCAAAATCCCAATTGAATACTTGTATCTGTGAGTCACTCTGGTCCTCGGAAGAGGGGCATACCATGGCAAAACTACCAGTCTATTTTTTCATAGATATAAAAAAAAAAATTGTCCTGAACTGCAAAAGGACCAATTCGCAAATAGAAAATAAGTTTAGACAAGACAAACGACTTTGGGGTAAATTAGTGAATACGAAGAATACATAATGTCGATTCCACCCTTAGAGATCACGTACAACTATAAGGGCATTATTGGCTTTTAGCATTTCCTTCCTGCTCAAAGTCGTCACTCTATTTCGGAAGATGTCGTCCAGTTTTTCTTTGAAAAGTGCGACGCCGCGCCGGCGCGGAAATTAATTTCAAGCCAACCGCCGTCGTCTCCTGCACTAAAGCGCTCAGAGATGGTAGTAGCTTCGTAGCAGTGCAAAAATGGCGTCCGCGACAAAACTTCTTTCTCCGTTTCGGAAATCCCTAAGTTCACTAATCTCTTCCCGCTCCTCAATCTCTCCTTCCAGGCAACTCTGTAAGTAATTTTTTGGATGAAATTTTGTCCGATTTTGTATTTAATTACAAATATTTGATTATTTGGGTGTAATTAATTGTTCAGATTATGCCAAGTTTGAACCGGTACTGCGGATTCGCGCCTCAACGTTTCATCGTTCCTTGAATTTGCAAAACAATTCTCTTCAGAAATTCTGGTTTTCAGGTTCGATTTTGCTTCGAATTGAACTTCATACCGTAAATTCGATTCGGAAGCTGTAAATTTTTGGTAATTGATCATCTTTTATGGCGCCAATTTTCGGTTTTGGTTGTTGAAACTTGAACATGCGTTGATGGCATTCAGAAACGAATCCAAAAGGAAACCAACATTACGGTTGAGAGAAAATACTTCAAACCGAAAATATAGGAGGAAAAACAACTAAGCTAACTTTGTAATGGGGCGATATTTCAGTACTACGAATCAATTAGAGCGTTGAAAGTGGATAGATGATCGTGTTTTTCTTTTTCTCCAATTGAGCTCTTGAAGTGTTTTCTCTGTAGCTTGCATGGTGTTTAATTGGTAATTTCCATATTTTGCTCTCAGGAAGTAAGTTGAGATATGGAAGCATTCTTGGTGTGACAGTTTTGTTTTGGTCAGTCAGCTTCTTGCCAAATGCTGCATATGCTATGGAAGGTGAGGGAAAAAAAAAAACCAAGCACCCGATTTTGATGTTGTAAATTCTTTAGATGGCGAAGCATACCTCTTTACTAACTTCCCTGAATTGAATTTCGATAATGTAGGCCAGGATGTGTTGGTGAATGATCATAATTTGGAAGCGTCGGGTGATTCGGATGTGGAGGAAGATCGACGGGAATTCAGGAAGTTTATGAGGAAATTATGGCTGCCTTTCTTTTTCTGTATTACTGTGTTGGCGTGCTGGGATCATCATATTACACCGCTTGGATTGAAGCTTGCTCTTTTCCTCCTGAGCACCAAGCCTAATCCTTTGTCAGTTTATGTTTTTGTGGAAGAGGTAAGGAACCATCCCATGGTAATTTTATGTGTTTACTAATCTCTTACCACCTAATCAATTGGGGTTTGTCAACCTGCTAGCCTATTCGAAGACAAACCATGTCTTGTTGTTTGTAATCGAAGAATTGCAGGAGCTGCTTTCTTTTAGAATCAGATTGGGGTGTGTTGTAGTTTAGATGGTAGGAACTAACGAATCTCCTATTGTTCCGTGACTAGAATTCTCAGAGTGGTCACTTTGTTTATGGGTTTATGATTACTGCAACATTTTTTACAGTGACCAATGCATTATATTGGTTAATGCTTTAGCGTTGATGGTAATAGTAGTTCTTGTCAGGAAAACCTTATTCGAAACTTGATATTTTGCAGTTATGTCATCGGCTCAAGCGCAAAGATCCTTACTTGCATAACAAGGCAAGTGTCCATTACCAGTTACGAAAAACTAGAATACTTAAGTATAACCTACTTCTAAAAGCTTCTGTTTCTTTCCTCTACAGCCATTGTACGCGCATAAGGTTGAAGTTGAAGACTTTAAGCTTCTATGTCTTGCTAAAGTTGAAGTGCAAGACCAGAAGTTCACTTTGGTTGGAATTCTTGGTGGTTGGTGGTCTGTGCCAACTTTGGACGCAATCAAGGATCATCTTGTATGTTCTCATAAAGCGGTCACTAAAGCATATATTTGAAAGGCAAGAAAACCGTGTAAGTTCAGTGTCATTTTATCGAGCTTCAGGGATCTCAGTCGATCACACTTGCAACATTTTTCTGGTTTTCTTCCACCCCCTCCCCCAAGTGCATAGAAAAATTCAGTGCAACGAAAGAGGCGGTATGCCAACTATAGTATAGTAGCTGCCAACTTGTAGTCTTATTCAGTACTTTTAGAACAACAATGTAACCATAAATGAAGGCCAGTCATATTCTGCAGAAAGGCTAATTTATGTTACAGGGCTTCTTGTTTACAAACTTTTGCTTTCTCCATGGAACTCAAGGCTCATATCAATTCGAGAATTCTATTCGAGCAAGTGATAATGGTTTGTTTCAGTTTCTGGTCCGCTGAGATGATCGCCATAGCTATAGGAAGGGCCGCAGAACATTCCACCCCACTGAGGGAAGTAGATGAGGGAGACCGGGAGGGTGCACACAATCATCATCACACCCATCAGAGAAATGCTCGTCTGCTTGGAGAATTCCGTGCCGGAAAACAACAGCAGCTGGGTTACCACCGCCCCCATCGTACCTCCGCCGCCTGTGATCCCTGATACCACTCCCAGTGACCTGCATCGTTAAAGTTTGGATTTTCAGTCATTAAACTGATATGTTTACATGGTAATGGTGCTAAGCACTATAATTAGTCATTATTGTTTCTCTAGGGAAGTATCTAGCTAGTCACTCCAATAGAGTTGTGCTACGTCAATCGTGATACTTGCGTTTATGGGTGTTTTTTTGCCCATTGGTGTGAGATGATTGTTGGTGTTGACGGGGCATGTCACCAGCAGTTCCCATCAGCACCAACAATCATACGGCTACTCAAGTACGTTATCAACTGATCTTAGTGTGAGTGATTTTTGACCATTGGTGAGATGACCGTTTGGTGCTCGTGTGTCACCGACGGATCCCATCAACACCACCAATAATAATCATCCAAACGCATTGACGATTGATCTTAACAAAACCCTTACGGGAATGACTAATCATCGTCTCGTCGCGTCATCAAGAATCAAACGGTAGAAGTGGGACCAACACATAGAGGGGAATATGACTCATAAATTCTAATTAATTACTAGACAACATGTGGAGTGTCGTTCCATCGCTACGTACCTTTTGGACACAAACGGCACCACGGCAAACGTGAGGCCAGCAGCAGCTTGTACAAAGATAGAAAACGCACACATGACAAGTATAGATCCCCAGAGCGAGGTGACTCGCCCGAGTAACAAACACAACAACCCGGCCACCGTCTGCGCCACCCACAACCCCCACAACCTCCCCCTCATCCCAAACCTCTGCGCCAGCTTATCGGAAACCAACCCGCCACTCGGCCTCGAAAAGAAATTCGCCATTCCGAAGCTGGCCGCTATGATCCCAGCCACGTCAAGATTCACGTTAAATCTGTCGTAGAAATATTGAGCTATGATATTATCAGTCGTCAACTCCACTCCAAAACTGAAGGCATAAGTCAACGCCAAAATCCATGCTCTATAATTCTTGACCCCGTTAGAAATAACACTTAACAAGCTCTCTTTGGACTTATTGTTGACCTTTTGAGAGCGTTTGTAGCTCCCAGAAGGTAGGTCCTGACCAAACGTCAGAACCAATATGGCCGTCACAACCTGAAAAACTGCTGGCACGATAAATGCCAGCCTCCAAGCTGCGAAGGACGGCACGTTGAATGACATGATGAGAGAATAAATGAGTGGCATGAGCAGCTGGGTGACGCCAGAGCCCATGTTGGCCCAGCCGGCGGAGAAGCCGTTGGCAAGGCCGACTACGCATCCCGAGAACATGCAGCTCATCCA